TACATAAACACAAAGGGAGTTGAAAAGTCTTAATTTAAATTTAGTTTACGTCTTCTTATTTAGCGCTAAAACTCGGATATATATATATAAACAAAACATACACAAATTGGAGCTGAACACTCTCTAAGTTTGTCTGACGTTTTCTCCCATCAATCTCGAGGAAATGAAAGTCTTGTCATTTTCACGCACGGTTAATCAGTTAATTATGCGAGTTTACAAGGCCAAAGTTGAATACAAATTAGCTCTACATGCAGGAAAAACCTCAAGGGAGCAACCTTGACGTATTATTATAAAACAAATAACTTAACAAGGATCAATTAAAACACGTGACTCATAATTGCTAGCAATAAAAAGACAAGAGAGATACCGTTTTAAACAACTTTATTAAAAAACAATGACAAAAAGAGTCAAATACACAGGAATGGAAATTAATTAATCTTCATCTTCGTTCTCCTCTGTAGAAGGGGAATAGAAATTAATTTCCAACGTCTTCGCGTTTTTGTGTGTAACTGCTCCGAAATCGTGACACCGAAGAAAGCCCTCTTTTATGTAATGTCTCCCCTCGGGAATCTGGTGATCGCATATAGGACAAATCTTGTAGTAATCGTGCCAAAGGCATTTAGGACATTTCATGATCAATGTCCCGCACACATTAGAGTTTTTGCAGTGTTCACAGGGACTTTTGGAGTGAAAGGTGGTGGACGTTTCAGGGTTACTACTTTCTATCTCCTGACTGTCGTCTTCAGTGTCGTTGTCGCTCTCTTGGGTGTCTTCCGCTTCAACGCCATTCTCAGAAGCCACTTCCTCCTCCTCCTCCTCCTGATTTTCAATATCCGATGAACTCTCCTCATTTTTACTCTCGTTATCGGAAGTATTTTCTACATTTTGGTAGCCTTTTTCATTTTCTATTAAATCACAACAACTTTTTGTTCTTGATTAAACCTTTATCGATTCCTAACTCTGCAAGTCCATCTAGAAACGTATTAAGCGCACGAGGCTTGGTAACTTCATTGTTATGAGGGAGTAACACATACTCAAGTAGCTCAGCGATGTTTGCGACGGGAATAGTGCGTTTATTTCGAAGTAATTGTCCGCTGGGGGTCCAGAAAAGAATATCTTTGGACGCAGCCATACTATACGGCAAATCAGAAGCACACTTTTCCGGCACTGCTCGGGAAAGATGACTCAAAACATCTTTTATTCTCGGTTCTTCATCCTCGCTTTCATCACCAGAACTTTCGCTTTCTTCATGTTCACTCTCGTGATCTTCTTCTTCAACCAAATCTATCTTTCTCTTCATTTTTGATGAGCACCCGTGACAAACTTAGCGTCGAATGATAAACCTAGCGATGTGTCACCTCTTTTATAGCATTAATCCTAAGCTTGAAACGACAGGGGCTAATACATCTTCAATAAAACCACTACGCTCTTGAACAAGGACTCGCTTCTTTGTTTTGAAAAGGACATTTGGACTGGCCAGGTTAAGGAAAGCATCCTTATATGTGAGCAATACCCGCTTATTTTCTTTGGAGATAGGAATGTGTCGCATGAGTAAATTGTATAAGACTTGGACTAGTGCATGAAGTTGCTGTGGTGTAGCTGTCTTTAAAAGAAACTGGCGGTGATAAGCGGGGCAAGCAGCTAACAGCTGAAGAAAACCACGATTGTTATTCACTACACGAGACATTGCTACAAAATGAACTAAGAATGGCAGTTGGTAGTCTTTTATAGAATTTGGTGGAGGGAAAACAATAGAAATGTGGTGGAGGTGGTGGTGGTGGTGGAGGGAAAACAATAGAAATGTGGAGGCGGTGGTGGTGGTGGTGGAGGGAAAACAATAGAAATGTGGAGGCGGTGGTGGTGGTGGTGGAGGGAAAACAATAGAAATGTGGTGGTGGTGGTGGTGGTGGTGGAGGGAAAACAACAGAAATGTGGTGGCGGTGGTGGTGGTGGTAGACGGAAAACAATAGAAATGTGGTGGCGGTGGTGGTGGAGGGAAGAAAACAATAGAAATGTGGTTGCGGTGGTGGTGGTGGTGGTGGAGGAAAGAAAACAATAGAAATGTGGTGGTGGTGGTAGTGGTGGTCTTGGGGGAGGAAAACAGTAGAATCTTGTGGCCTGAAAACCTATATAAATGCGCAACATTCTACCTCTTTCTCAGTCTACATTTTGCTCCTGAGGAGTTGATATGAGTTGGTTCTGTTCTGTCTGCGAAAAATCCTTTAGTAGAAAAGATAGTATGCAAAGGCACGTGATGTCTAAACACCGCAATGCTGGTCTCACCCCAATTCAAACAGTTCCAATATTTTCACAGAAATGTCAGCGGTTTCGCTTCGAGCATCCTTTCACCTCCATGATTGCCGGAATGACCGGGTCCGGAAAAACGGCCTGGGTTCGATCGCTATTGCAACAAGCTTCAGAGACCATTTACCCTCCCCCGGAGAGGATCGTTTGGTGTTATTCACAATGGCAGCCTGCGTATACACAAATGTTAGTCGCCATGCCAAACATTGAATTCGTCAAGGGAATTCCTACGGCTTTCGAGCAGGATTCCTATTTTGATGTGAACAAACGGAATTTGATCGTGTTTGTGAACCTCTTTACTCGTGGTTCTCATCATCGCAATCTGAGCGTGATTTATATCGTGCAGAATCTATTTCATCAGGGGAAAGGTAGCCGCAGCATAAGCCATTATCTGGTGTTATTCAAGAATCCACGAGACAAATTGCAAATCTTGACTCTAGCGAAGCAAATGTATCCCGGGCAGACGGATTTCTTTTTAAATCAGTACGAAGAGGTTGTAAAAAGACCTTTTGGTTATCTTCTGATTGATCTGAAAACTACTACCCGAGATAATTGTCGGTTGCGAACAAACGTTCTGCCCAGTGCAGAAGGCTTTAACCAAGCAGGGTTTCAAGAAAATATTCCTCAAGAGCTCCTAAAATATCTGAAGCAGCAAACTCTTTCGCCTGTCCCACTTCTTCCAGCTATGCAAGGAATACAGGGCAACATGGATGACGTGCTTTCTCGAAACGATCTTCGGGACGATGAAAAAGCTACGCGATACGTTCAGTTGCAAAACAGATACCTGGCTTTTAAAGAACAATTAAATACAAGAACACGACCGGAAGAAATAATCAGTACTGTTCCAGACTTAACATCAAGGACACAAGATTCTTCGACAGCAACGACAGCATTCTCCACTCCCCTCAACCCCTTTAATGTAACACCTGAATTAACACAAGCGGCTATCTCTCAAAAACCTGACAAAGAAAGTCTCACTCCTCCACCACCCTTAAATCCTGCTTTCCTGACCCCTTCTCCAACAGTAGAAACCCCATCACAACAAGGCCCGAAGCGCAAAAGGCGTCGGATTCAGTTTCTAAATTATTTGGATGATCATAAATCTCATGGCAAACAGCTGAAGAAACGTCGGCATAAGAAATTCAAACCTTACAAGTACTCTATGAACGAAGATGAAGATTAATTAATTTCCATTCCTATGTATTTGACTCTTTTTGTCATTGTTTTTTAATAAAGTTGTTTAAAACGGTATCTCTCTTGTCTTTTTATTGCTAGCAATTATGAGTCACGTGTTTTAATTGATCCTTGTTAAGTTATTTGTTTTATAATAATACGTCAAGGTTGCTCCCTTGAGGTTTTTCCTGCATGTAGAGCTAATTTGTATTCAACTTTGGCCTTGTAAACTCGCATAATTAACTGATTAACCGTGCGTGAAAATGACAAGACTTTCATTTCCTCGAGATTGATGGGAGAAAACGTCAGACAAACTTAGAGAGTGTTCAGCTCCAATTTGTTTATGTTTTGTTTATATATATATATCCGAGTTTTAGCGCTAAATAAGAAGACGTAAACTAAATTGAAATAAAGACTTTTCAACTCCCTTTGTGTTTATGTATATCTGAGTTTTAGCGCTAAATAAGATATAGGAAGCCGTTTCGCGCGTTGCTAGGTGATCGCTTCTCTTATTCCTATTTTTCTTTTAAAAGACGGTCCGAAAACCGGGCTCAAGTTACTTACCGGGCAAGTCTAGGCAAGCCTATTGTTCCTATTGAAGTAGAGTGACGCTAATTAGTAAACCTATACCGAATTAGTATGCAGGTAGACACTGACTAGGCACTTAAATTAATATAGAGGAACCCATTTTTTCCCTAGGTTATCACAATAGATGACGTCATTGACTCTACCGTTATGCATATTAATAAAGGGAACCCACTTTTTGCGAGGGAACCCACCAACGAGGCTTATCTTTCAACATAGTATACTACTCACCAAAGCAACGTTTATGTCGCAATATTAAACTCAGGGACAGTTGAGTGGTATCTTTGTCAGTAACTTTAATTTTAAAACTAACACGCACACACAAAAATAAAATTGCCGCCGATAACGTGGTCCTCTGTAGAAGGAGTAGATGACTTGTCTAGGTGCCCCATGGTGACCCATTCAAACTAACTAAACATGTTTAATTAAACCATGTTTTAAAAATGAAAACGGACTCGAAAAACAGGAACACACAGGTTTTTTTTACACAGGATGCGTTTACAAAATTCAACTCGTTTTTGTAATTTGCAATAAAGGTGTCATCAACAGAAGGTGCTCTTATGAAGGAAAAAAATTATGCCGTGTTTGGCTAAACTGCCTTTAAACATAGACCGATCAATATAGAGAACTTTGAAAATAAAATCGATAAAACAAAGCAATTAATGGTCTATAAAGTTTAGCTTTATCTGGTAAGCTGTCTTTCCCTTAACTTTTTTTTTTGAAAAACAAAGGTTGGTTTTCAGTTGGGGTCTTAAAAAATGTATTTCTTTTTAATTTGGTGGACCTAGTTCATTCGTCAGCGTGCGTATGTCAAGATATCAAACAAACGGGAAGTTTGGAGCGTGAGAGTAACTCTAGTCGCAGATGGAAGGCAAAGTTGTATCGTTATATCAAGTTAAGCACTCGTTAATATACAGAATTGACTTTACACCGTCTGCGCCAATAATAGAGGCAAAAGTCGGTGAAAGATAGCTTAGGGAGAAAGTGGAAATTAGCTCAGAGAAAAATAATTTTTAAATATTTACGAACAGGTGTGCCACCATTAATGTCAATGGTAATGCAGGTCATAGTTACCCCTTGCGTTTTTAATTTATAAAAATGAATATTCGTCAATTGGTTCGTTGGCGTTGACGCAAATGCAAAAGTTTAATCGATATAGACATGCCGCGAGTGTGAAAGTCTCTAAAGTCTCTCTCCGATTGTTTTATTCATATTTATTATTCTTATTTTATTCGGAAAGAATCAATTATTGATATTCTATGGCATCATTCCACCCCCGCTTACGGGCGTATGAGATATAATATGGCCAACGAGGTACGTAAGGCCTGCACGTATCCGGCCAACGCGAGTTCTCGTGGCATGGAATAACTGTCGATTATTGTGTGTTCAGTTCAATGCAACATCAAATGAATTTTTCTATCAATTGATAGCATCATTATTGTCACGGCTTCCTTCTGCAATAATATCTGTACCTTCTTTATTTTAGATACCAGCTTAGAGAGTTTAAGTGGGCTATGTCAGGAGGATGTTGCTATCCTAGGTAAAAAAAAAAAAAAAAAAGTGATATTGCCCCTTTAAAACCAGTACTGAGAGGGCACGCTACAGGAGTCCTCTAACAGAACAATCGTAGGCGAAGTAGTTGAAAATGAATAAGACGAGACCGAAGATGTTTATCATTGTATTGAACCATTTTATCGATAAGAAACAAAAATAATCTATAATATTTCAGCACTATGAAGGGGGGGGGGGGGAGGGAGGCAGGGAGGCAGGGAGGGTCAAAGTTATTTAATATTTAATGAGAGCTTATTTAGCATTTTTAATATGGGACCATTAATTGACTTTAGATTGACAATTCAATCGGAGAAACTATAATAATTTGTCTCAGTTTGCTGACATTTTCTTACAATTAAAATATAATGGCACCTAAATGTTGTCAATGGTAGAATTATATATAGATCAAAATGAAAGAACAGACGATGTTTTTGTAAGTAAGAGACTCAAGAGAAAAGACCTGTCGAAGAATCAGTAAGCATGGACATAACAGCAAATGGAAGCTGCTTCAGTTTGATAAATCCAGAAACACTAAAAATTGGGCAAACGGTTGCTCTGAGCCTGATACTTGTTGTTTCGTTGGTTGGGAATTCTCTCATCCTATTAATTGTTTACAAAACACCAACTTTGAGAAAACCGATGAATATGTTGATCGCAAATATGGCCATGTCTGACCTGCTCTATCCAATATTCTTTGTTCCTGCTCGTCTGGCAGAATGGCACGCTGGCTCGTGGCTTATTGGTGGTACCCTTGGTCAGGCCTTGTGCAAGATACACATTTTTCTTGTTGATGTTTCCTTGTTAGTGTCGATTCAGAGCCTTGTTCTGATAACAGTGGATCGATTTGTAGCTGTTGTAGTTCCACTCCGTTCCCCTCTCGTAAGTAGAAAGCGGTGTCTATTCTTCATTGTCGCTTCGTGGATCGTCGCAATGGCCTTTCATTCGCCATATCTTGTTGCTTATAAACTTGGTAAATACCCAGAACGACTGATGTGCGAAGATCTGTGGCAGGAAGCCTTCGGAGGAAACACATATCCAAATTACATCCTAGCAGGTGCTATCGTGTTTTTCTACATTCCCTTTGTCCTCTTGGTGATACTGTACTCCAACATCCTGATCAAGCTTAAAAACCAAGTCCATCCAGGTGAGCAGTCAGCCAACGCTGAACAACAGAGGACAAGAAGAAACAGAAACGTGCTTAAGATGGCTATTACTATCGTGGTAGTGTTTTTCATTTGCTGGATACCCTGGTTCAGTAACGCGATAATAGAAAATTTCAGTGCACCAGACAGTCTTATTTCTTCTTGTAGTTTTCATATATACCGTACTGTCACCTTCTTTATGGCTTTCGCAAACTGTGCTATTAACCCGATTATCTGCCTCACTCTTAGCAGTAACTACCGCCAAGCTCTTAAGAGACTTGTGAGTTGCTGTGCCGCCGATGCAGTGGAACATTAATGTTTGAAGACTGAAAGCCGGGTCTGAAGAGATTCATTAAAAGAAAAAAAAAGAAGAAGAAGACCAATAACAACTAAGATGTTATGTAAAATAACAGCGAAATCACGAAAGAAATGCATGTGAGTTATGTTTTCGGCTGCAAAGTAATCTGGAGCACGCCCTAACCCTAACTCTAGGAAGGGTGGAAAATGTTATTGTATGAACGCATTTGCAACGTATAATTTTGCCGAAAAACGCCGATCGAAGCCAGTTCACTGAAACAGCTTCTGGATGGTTTGCTGCAGAACCGGCAAGACATCCAAAGAAAACGGTATGATATTAGCAGATCGACATGCAAACTTTGAAACCCCTAAGTAAAGGAGCGCAGGTAGACATATTTCTACCACGAACCAAGACGAGGGACTTCAGCATAGGTGAAAGAAGAGGCCAGTTAGCCACGGTCGTCCTACATTGTAAAGACAACTGACGTGTCTGAACTAAAGTGCCATAGAGTATACTCAGCTGAAGCGTTTAGAAAAAAAATCAACAGTTACCGGTGGAAGTTCGTTGATAACAACAAAGAAAGTCTTTCAACACAGAGAGGCAAACTAAAGCGTTCAGCCTACCCTCAGTTGTCATCATCAGAATCACCCGAGCACCTGCCCAATCACGTGCACCGGTGCCATGTTATAAATATGGCGTGAACAAATATTTTTCTCTCTTTTTGCGAATAATAACTAAAGGATGTTGGAAAAATGGACTGCATGACTGAAATTGTACCCCCCCCCCCCTCCCATCAACCCCCACCTTTCCTAGACCAAGGGTGCTTACCACTTGACAGAAAATTTCGGAAATTCCGGATGTAAGGTAAATGGTGAGGTCACTTTTCGGAAATTCCAACCGAAAATTGAGGAGTACGTTTTGAGGTAGTCCGTTCATTCCGGTTCGTACAAACCAAACAGAATGTTGCTTACCATTAACCAATTTCTCAGTTCCCTCTTGGTTCCAGACTCACGCTACACAAATTCGCCCTTTTTTTGGATTCAAACTGTAACGGATGTAGCAATTCTGCGGTAAACTGGTATATCGCTTATAATTATGCTTTCGACTCGCCGAACGGATTTTTCTGTCAAATGGTAAGCACCCCAAGTTTTCAGATGACTCGATTTTCTCTCCTTCTTTGGACATTGACTTCATATTAAAGCTAGATGGGGTTCTGGTAGTCTGGTCAGGTAAAAATAGTTGATAGGGTCCTGGGACAAG